CATACCTCTGTGTGTGTGTGTGTGTGTGTGTGTGTGTGTGTGTGTGTATTCACTGAGAAATATGGAAAGATTCCTTAGAAATTGGCAGCAACATTATTTGCCTCCGAGGAGGGGAGTTTGATCACTGGGGAATTGGAAGGAAAGGGGACTTTGGCTGAATACCCTTTGGTACGTTTTGAACAATGTGAATAGACTACCTAATTCACAAAACAAAGAAAAAGACAAGAGGGAGTCCATTCTTCAAAATAGATGACTTCTTTTGTTTTGGGTCCTTCAATCAAACCAAACAGATGAGAACGAGTGTCAGACCAGGCCGGGGATCTGTGAGAATGGGCGCTGCCTCAACACCCGCGGGAGCTACACCTGTGAGTGCAATGACGGGTTCACGGCCAGCCCCACCCAGGACGAGTGCCTTGGTGAGTACAGTCAGCAGGATGCTTTTGTAACCTTGGCCTCCTCACTGGGACACTCCAAACATAGGTCCCTGATTTAAAATAGAAGAAAACGTCCAACTCTGAGGAAGCATTAAAACTGTTCATATTTTGGAGCTGACTTAGTGGCTGTGATTGTCCATGGGGCTTAACACCACCCTGCATCTGAATCCTTCCTTGGCTAATTGTATCACTGAATCACTTGTTTGGAATTTCTTTCTTGGCCGCCTTTCGAAGCCTTGGTGATCAGAATCTGTTTCCATATGTTTCTCTGCCCCCCTCTCTCTGTAGAAAGCCTATTTCCCCATAATTCTGGGAGCGATGCAGTTATAAGCTTGTCTAGACAAATGCCTTTCTGCCTACTTACTGAAGTTCTCGTCTTGTTTCCCTCAGACGTCATCTTTCCTCTCTTCCTGCTGTCTCCAGCTTTCCCTTCTTGCTCCTTCTCACCTTGGGTAAAGTGTCATATCCTTCTTGGTATTTATATAGCTGACTAAATTCTTAGTAGCCTGTCGCACTTACAAAAGTCCCTAAAATCCTCTTTGCCGTATAATGTTCCTTCCAGACAACAGGGAAGGGTACTGCTTCACAGAGGTACTGCAGAATATGTGTCAGATCGGCTCAAGCAACAGGAACCCTGTCACCAAGTCCGAATGCTGCTGTGATGGAGGGAGAGGCTGGGGTCCCCACTGTGAGATCTGCCCCTTCCAGGGCACTGTGGCTTTCAAAAAACTCTGCCCCCATGGCCGAGGATTCATGACCAATGGAGCAGGTACTTTTTTAAATCTTGATTTGTGATCAGTGGCACAAGTACTTTCTTTAAAGCCCCAAAATACTTGTAGGGACTCTTGTTTATCTATGAAAAGAAAAGATGTAAATATAGAATCTATACTGTGAGCCTAGGTTGAGTTGCATAGCTAAAGTTTCCAAAAGTTCTGCCTTCTGGTGTTTTAGGTATTCGATGTCATGCCGAAGTGCCCTAAGTCTACTTGATGAAGTTGTGTTTGGGTCACTGCCTCTGCATTCCCTGGAGTCTTCAACGTTTTTTTAATTGCCAGGGGACAAGTGCAGTTGCCTGAGACACACACACACACACACACACACACACACACACACACACACGAAGAGGGAGAGAGAGAGAGAAAACAAACAAACAAAAAAACCACTGTCTAGTAGGGTATAGTCATGCCACAGTCGCATCTCCATTTCTCCATCTCATCAAGACTTGGGGCATGCACACACATGTGTCCATTGTGCTTTCAAGTATGGGGGCCAAGATCCAAACCAAGGTCAGTCATGTGGGATCCAGCTTCCTTACACACTACATTATGGGTTTGGCCCCAGTCCTCAGCTTTTCAAATGGAAGTTTGCTATAAATCAGTTGTTGGTTACTCAGGATATAATTTTTTAGATAAATCCTGAAATCAATAATTCTTACATTTCTAAGCCAGCCTATCAATATATATTTTAATTCCTCAAGTTGACTAAAATATATTACATGAAAAAAGTATAAATAATGCTGATTTCTCCCAAAAGGACAAAGTGTTTTAACTAGAGAGGACGAGGAGCCAGTTGAGGCATCGGAGGCAACTCCAAAGACTTCCGGCCTATCATTAGTGTGATTCCAATGTTCAACAACAGTGACTACAGTTGGTTTTCAGTCCAGAAAAGGACTGAGAAAAGGAGAGAAAAGGAGGGGTTTTTTTGTTTTGTTTTGTTTTTGTTTTTGTTAGTTTATTTTTAGCTCCTTAGGAGGGAATTATAAATGAAAGGGGAAGAAGGAAGTTAAGGATTCGTGTTCATGTTAGAAAGGCTGAAGGCAGAATAATGGAACTAGATATGGTGAAAGTCAGAACTGGACCGATGAGATGGCATGACCAAAAGAAAATTATGATTCTTGTTAAATGAGATAGTAGAGAGCAGCCAGGTGGCATGGTGTTTAAGGCAGCTGGATCCCACATGGCCAACAGCACGGTTCAAGACGCAGACCCAGCGGCTTGGAAAATACACTAGGCATGAATGTGCATGCCCAAAATCTGGAGAAGAAAATGAAGGAAAGGGGATTGTGACATGCCCATCCCCCACACTCACTCTGCCCCCAGAAGGGGTTGATTTCTCACTTTTCCTCTCTATCTGGCAAGTGCATGTCCCATACAGCAAAAAGTAAATTAAAAAAGAGAGAGAATGGTAGAAAACTCATTTCTTGAGACCAGTGGTGGTTGCTCAGTTGTACTTCAGAGTAAACTTAAAAAGATCACGTATATCTAACAAAAGTTTGGTACCAAGTAGTTATTTGGCAATCAGGGACTAATAACTCAAGTGTGAATCACTAAGGAGATAGGTGGGTCAAGATGTGGAAGACAGTGGCTTTCATGCTCAAGAGTGCATCCTCACCAAGTCTTTCTCCTGTTGGTGAAAGGGATAATAAGTATGAGTCTCCCTTCTTTTTTTTTCCTTTTTTCTTTCTTTTTTTGGCTGTTGTTAAGAGAGATTTTTGCTATAGGGCACATGCACTCACCAGAGAGACAGAAAGTAAGAAATCACCCTGTGAGGTGATGGCCATACCATAATCCCTTCTCCTCCATTCTCCTCTTGGACTCTTGGGCATGCATGCACACACTCTTGGCATGAGTTTTAAGCTACCGGGTCCAAGACTCAAAACATAGTCGACTATATGGAAGGCTAGCAATGTAACCGTTATGCCATGTGCTCATCCCAAGTCTCCCTTCTTTACCAGGCCAGAAATCCAGCCCCATCACCTACCCCAGAACCCTAGTTTATTTCCCTGCTCAGCAAAGGAGGGAAATCGATCCTATTCCCCAATATTATGTAATTTGATATTTTTTAGGATTAACTTTGAGTACAACAAAGAAAATGTAAAAAAAAAAAAAATCCCTCTTCTTTTGGACATAAATATTAGGGGGAAAATTGCATCTCCTTGTCAAAAGGATCTACTACTGGGATTAGTTAATGAGATATCAGCAGGAGGCAAGCTTGATGGTAGGAGATAGAGCAAGACACCATCTCAGGAGGATGTTGGTCTATGGACCCAAAAGAGGAAAACTGTAAATTTAGAAGACCAATTATTTTAAAACTTGTCCTCTGATTAGTTTATCACTATTATCTAATAAAGTTATTCATTTGCCTTTTCATGCATATGAAATTTATGCTGCCATCCTTGGATTAATTTCATGTCTGTAATATAGTAACACAGTTCACAGTATTTACACTGAAGGAATCCCTACATATTAATGTTGTCTGCTTTATGGTATCTTTCTCATCTTAATTTTTTTTTATTTATTAAACTCCAGATATTGATGAATGCAAGGTCATTCATGATGTTTGCCGAAATGGGGAATGTGTCAATGACAAAGGATCTTACCACTGCATATGTAAATCTGGCTACACTCCAGACATAACTGGAACAGCCTGTGTGGGTGAGTGCTCTATTTCCGATGGTTTATGCTCTAGTGGAACTTTTAGATTTTGGCAAAATATAACATCTGTATGCTCTAAAAAAATCTCAAAAGTTTATGTAATTTCATTGGAAAGGATAACGCAATGAGCAAAGTCCACATAGTCTCAACACTATAATTCTTTGTTAGAGTCTGCAGATATTGAGCCTGTAGACATCTTTTTAGATGGGCAGTCACACTGTATGTTTTTGATCACAGATCTGAACGAGTGCAACCAGTCACCCAAACCCTGCAATTTTATCTGCAAAAACACAGAAGGGAGTTACCAGTGTTCATGCCCAAAAGGTTACATTCTACAGGAGGATGGAAGGAGCTGCAAAGGTAAAGTAGAATCTGTCTTTGGCTGCCCACCTGCCACCTGGCACATCGTTGCTTTCCTTGTGCCTGTGAGGAATCCATAGGCGAGCTAGAAGGCCTATTCCCCAGCAAGAGGTATTGCTCTGTGCTCTACAGGGAGGTTAGTGCCTCTCTAGGACCTTCCTATGTACCCACCTTTTATGCTGAATAGAAAGAAGCCGAGCCAGAGAGATTGCGGCGGAACAGTGGCAGCAGCCATCCTCTCTGCATGGCCCCTGCACATCCTTGAGGGTCTCAGAGATGGCAGGGCCAGCTGTCCAAGACTGGATGCTTAAGTGATTACTTCCTTTCTGCTTTCTGTTTATTGCATTTATGCTGTCTGTTCAACAATCGTTTAGTCCAGGTCTCTAGCAAAGACCTAACTCAGACTAATCAGTGCCATGATCACTGAGGACATTGTGTCCAATGAATTAAACACAGTATCTAGGTTTTTATTTTGCAAAATAAGACCATTCCTGCCCACTAAGAGCTTCCCTGAGATGTAAATTTCACATGGAATTAGAAACAGGAAGTCTCTGAGCAGAAAGCTCTTCTCAACCGGATGTTATCCTTTGCAGAATTCTTTTGGTGTACATTTACTTCTCCAATAAGAACTTCATATGAAGTGAATAGCACAAGTGATCCAAGGATACTTGAAGGGGAAGAGTGCAGAGTCATGTACTAGGGAAGACATAGGCAACAGCTTCAGGCTTTCCTGTGCAGAAAACCTGTGTCATTCAGTAGCTGGGGAGTGGAACTTAGAGACCCACTGTAAAATTCTGTTCATCTTAAGTGAAGAGTTGCTCATAACTTCGTTCTTCTCTTCGTTCTTCTAAAATATGGAACATATTTTTTTAAGAATTATTTTATTTAACTTTGTTTACTTATTTATTTATTTGTTTGGATTTGACCAGAGAGGGACAGAGTGAGAGATGGAGGGGAGGGGGAAGTGAGAATGCAAGCCACCAGATTCAGGACTTGAACCATGGTCGGCCATGTGGGAGTCCAGTGCTCTTAACCACCATGCCACCTGCAGGCCCCAAACATGGAACATATTCTATGTCTATGGATCACAGTGAGTTATAGACAGAAGGCTACAACTCTGAGCCATAAATGTATTCATGTAAAAGAAGAGCCAAATTCAAGGGGAAAATATTTCCCCATGTATATATTACTTATAACAAACTAAAAAAATTCACAACCTTTTTCTAACCTGTGGGGGCAGATATTCCTCAAAACTTTTTAGCAATTAAGAGATCAAAAATGGGCTAGCTGGGAGACCAGGAATTAGTGTAATGGCTATGTCGCTGGACTCCCACGTAGTCGACTGTGGTTCGCATCCTGGACCCGGTGGCTCAAAACTCACGCCAGGCACGTGTGTGTGTGTATGTGTGTGTGTGCCCAAGATCCCAAGAGGAGAATGGAGGAGAAGGGATTGAGGCGTGATCATCCCCCCTGGGGGGTGATTTCTCGCTTTCTGTCTTTCTGTCTCTCTCTGTCTGTCTGGCGAGCGTACGCGCCCTATAGCAAAAATACCTCTCAAAAAAAACGCTAGCTGGTAGTGTGGTGTTTAAGGCAGCTGGATCCCACATGACCAGCTGCATGGTTCAAGTCCTGGATGTGGTGGCTTGAAAAACATGCCAGGGGTATGTGCATGTGTCTCCCAAATCCCAAGAGAATGGAGGATAAGGGACTGTGGTGAGGCCATACCCCCAGGGTAGAGGGTACTTCCTCAGCATCCCCCCCTTTGGTGAGCACCCCCTTTTGGTGAGCACCCCCACTTTGGCGAGCATACACACCCTTAAGGAAAATTTTTTTAAAAAGAGAGATAAAAAATGGGAATTAAATTCATCATAGTTATAATGTTTTTTCATAATGTGTAAAAAACATCTGTAAAGCCCTTTATGGTTTTATAAATATAAAGAGCAACTATACGATTTTACATAACCATTTACAACTCAAGTCCCTTTCTCCCATTTTTCTTATAAGGCCTAAATTCTCCCACACACTTGGCATATATGACTAAATATCAAAATGAGTAGTATAGATAAGTGTACTATTGAAACTGAGAATGGGGTAAAGGGTGGTCCTGGGAAGAGTGTGAGACCGTCATGCCCCCATGGGAGATGGGTGGGATCCAGGTAAGAGGAAAGAAGGGGCTGAAAGAGGTGAGCACAGCCAGTGTTGTACTTGCACAATAGCATTGTTATTGATAGAAGAAATCACTGTGTCATCCCTCTCACCTCTTTTCAGGTGAGCTTCAGCTAACCCTGAGCATGATGATGTTCCTGCAGAGAGCAGCATCATAGAGTGGGGGAAGCCAGTTCTAGGCCCTGAGAAAGCTGAACGGAGTTCACGTCTGTCGGTCCTCCCGCTGTGGAGCGAGCACAGGATGGGCTCCACATTAAGGGAAGTCAGTGCTGGGACAAGTGCAGGGAGGTTCTCTTCAGATCCACTCCAGATGTCACTGTGCCAGAAGCAGAAGCAGGTGTTAGCAAAGCCAGCACTGACCAGTGGCCCCAGCACAGCTCTGCCTAACTCTGCCTGGTGGCTGCCAGGGGTATGTGCATGTGTCTCCCAAATCCCAAGAGAATGGAGGATAAGGGACTGTGGTGAGGCCATACCCCCAGGGTAGAGGGTACTTCCTCAGCATCCCCCCCTTTGGTGAGCACCCCCTTTTGGTGAGCACCCCCACTTTGGCGAGCATACACACCCTTAAGGAAAATTTTTTTAAAAAGAGAGATAAAAAATGGGAATTAAATTCATCATAGTTATAATGTTTTTTCATAATGTGTAAAAAACATCTGTAAAGCCCTTTATGGTTTTATAAACATAAAGAGCAACTATACGATTTTACATAACCATTTACAACTCAAGTCCCTTTCTCCCATTTTTCTTATAAGGCCTAAATTCTCCCACACACTTGGCATATATGACTAAATATCAAAATGAGTAGTATAGATAAGTGTACTATTGAAACTGAGAATGGGGTAAAGGGTGGTCCTGGGAAGAGTGTGAGACCGTCATGCCCCCATGGGAGATGGGTGGGATCCAGGTAAGAGGAAAGAAGGGGCTGAAAGAGGTGAGCACAGCCAGTGTTGTATTTGCACAATAGCATTGTTATTGATAGAAGAAATCACTGTGTCATCCCTCTCACCTCTTTTCAGGTGAGCTTCAGCTAACTCTGAGCATGATGATGTTCCTGCAGAGAGCAGCATCATAGAGTGGGGGAAGCCAGTTCTAGGCCCTGAGAAAGCTGAACGGAGTTCACGTCTGTCGGTCCTCCCGCTGTGGAGCGAGCACAGGATGGGCTCCACATTAAGGGAAGTCAGTGCTGGGACAAGTGCAGGGAGGTTCTCTTCAGGTCCACTCCAGATGTCACTGTGCCAGAAGCAGAAGCAGGTGTTAGCAAAGCCAGCACTGACCAGTGGCCCCAGCACAGCTCTGCCTAACTCTGCCTGGTGGCTGAATCAGTGATAAAGCAGGTCACCGGAATGAAAG